TTCTCCCTGCTATTCGCGACATACGAGTAAACTTTACGGCAGTAAATATGGCTTCTCATTTCAGCGGTGTGCTGCAGCTGACAGACCTCGATGATTTTATAACTCCTTCTCAGGCAGGTTTTGTAACACTCGTGTAACATCTTACAATATCATATGTATTTTTGTGGGACATCGCTAACGAGTGATTAGCTTCACGTGTATGTATAAAAAAATAATACTAATTGAAGAAAACCTACCCAAGTCGCTAGCATATCTAACCGTAACTGTTCTTATCTGTTGTGAGTTGACATAGAGTAGTTTTCGAACAAAGTTCGCCATATTACGATATTTATAAATTGGAGTAATTTTGTCTCAGTTTGTAAAATCCGTGAACTTTAAAGTGACGAGACGGATGTTGCGCAGTTAGCTTACTGCTAGTTATAGCGATCATGACGCAAGTATGACGAACTGCTGGAAACAAGTCTTTTAAAAAGAGCTTATCGCGCTCGCTAGCAATGGTTTTGTGTTTTATGTCCTATCATATACTTTTTCCTGTGTTGTTTTAGTTTTCTTTGGTGCCTCTGGGCGTTGTCATAAATTGTTTTCTATTGTACATGAATGGAAAGGCGGTTGATCGAGATGACATACCTATGGAGGAATGAAATGCCTAGTGAACCTTTTAACCAGATTAAGCTGATGAGCCACACCATGAAGATATGAGAAAAAAGGTGTGGAAGTTAGGTTAAGAAGACCTAAGGTGAAGGTGACCAATCAGTGAGCAGCAGTATGTGTTTCAGTATGTTGCTCCGAGAAGGAGCAATGTTTGCTTTGAGAGTGTTGATAGAGAAGGTCTGAAGGTGTTGCACTGTGTCTTTGTGGAACCAGAGAAAGCAGGAATGGGGAAAAGAGGTAGACCTTAGTGAGATTCATGGATGTAGTGAAAAAGGACATGCAGAGAGTTGGTGTGACAGGAGGAGATACTAGGGCCAGGTGGTGGAAGATGATCCACTGTGGCAAACCCCAAAATTGAGAACAATAAAAGAATTAAAAGAACATTGTATGTGGATTTAGCATTTAAAAAATTGCTAATTTATTTTTTCTTGTTGACTTTTTTCTGCAGGAGTGTGTTAAGCCTGTCAAAGTAGAGAAGAAACAAGGTAAATCTGTGGCCAAAATACAGATAGAAGATGATGGCAGTTATGTACAAGTCAACAAGGTGGGTTTAAAGGCTTGAGTTTGAGTTGTTGAATTTCAGGTATTGCACCGCCCCATATTTTGAGTTCATCAAATGTGTTTTTAGGATGGTGGGAAGCAGAAGTTGGAGAAAGCAAAGATCACACTGAACGACTGTTTGGCCTGCAGTGGCTGTATCACCTCAGCTGAGAGTGTCCTCATCACACAGCAAAGCCATGAAGAGCTCTTCAAAGTGCTCCGTAGGAACAAGGTAGAGTTACGTCGTCTGAATGCTACTTACATGAGAATAATAATTTAGCCTGGCATCATTTTCACCTGTGAATCATTTCAACTTCAGGCCAATGAGACAGAGCAAAAGATTGTGGTGGTGTCAGTGTCACCACAGGCCAGAGCCTCCCTGGCAGCACATTATAACCTGAGCAGTAGTGAGGCAGGCAGGAGGCTTACCTCGTTCTTCAAAGACCTTGGTGAGTGTAAATATGCATTCAAACAATGGGCTTATTTAGGTTGACATAGTCACCTCTGAAAATTGTTGTTGTTACTGTTGTTGCAGGAGTTCATCATGTGTTTGATACCAGCTTCAGTCGGACCTTTAGTCTGCTGGAAAGTCAGAGAGAGTTTGTGGAGCGTTTCCAAAGGAAGGAACAGGATAGTAAGGCCCTGCCCATGCTAACGTCAGCCTGTCCAGGTATTCCACCAGAAACACTCAGGAGCACAAAGTAAAATTAGTGATGTTGGAGGGTCCTGCCTTTTTCACGTCATCCTTGTTTGTCTTTCATCGTTTACTGTCCTTGTGTGTAAAAAAAATAAAAATAAAAAAAAAAAATGTTCCACTCTCACAAAGAAAGATAGAATGTTTAAAATTTTATTAGGTACTTGGTATATTTATTGATTTGATCAAAGGTTAAATTAACAGAAGTCAGTCCTCCAGTGTCAAATAATATCTAGTAATCCAGTATACAGTTGGGTTAGTTAACAGTGATGGGCCACATAACTGACATAATACTGTGTAGAAGTCTTGGGCCACCCTTCATTTCTTTATATTTTGCTAGAAAAATGGTGGAAATAGATGGAGTGATTTATTGAAATGTGCAAAATGAAACTGAAATAGAGTAGATAATGGGTACACAGAGTTTGTACAATTCTAACAAGCTTGAAAGTCAATAATTAGTCTGACCAACTTTATTCTTCAACCCAGCCTGGACTGTCTTAGGCAAGTGTCTCTCTTTGGTTCAGGGTGGATCTGTTATGCAGAGAAGACTCACGGGGAGTATATTCTTCCATTTATTAGTACCACTCGCTCCCCCCAGCAGATGATGGGATCTTTGGTCAAAAGCTATTTTGCTGAACGACAGGTGAGCTTTGTATTTGTTGAGGAGTGGTGTAAATATACACAGTTCAAAAGTCTCAAAAAGAGAGGCTGCTGAAATGTGTGTTCCATGTATTTTTAGAAGCTGAGTCCACAGCAGATCTACCATGTGGCAGTAATGCCTTGCTTTGACAAGAAACTTGAGGCTTCACGGTCAGACTTCTACATGCCCAACGCTGAGACCCGTGAAGTGGATTGTGTCATCACGTCTGGTACAGTGATTACTCCTATAGTGGTCTTTGTGCGTATGGACTCGCATTATCGTCGGTCTTATTTTTCCTATCTATTAAAGGGGAGGTTCTGAAAATGCTGGAGGAGGAAAATGTGTCCCTTAATGATCTGGAGTCTGCTGCCCCAGATACAATGTACGTTCTTTTTCATTTTGCATTTTTTTTTACATTTGTTAATTCACTCACATAAAGTAATTATACAATTCCACCTGCATAGCTAGACTCATTCCCTATTCATTTATTTTTTTTTATCACAGGTTCAGCAGTTTCTGTGGAGATGAGTTCCTGAGTCATGCTGGGAGTGGATCAGGAGGTTACCTGCATCACGTTTTTACACATGCTGCCAAGCACCTTTTCGGAGAGGAGGTGAAGAATCTTACCTACAAGACCCTCAGGTGAGCATGTCGCCTCTTCTTAAAGCAGCAGAAGCGCTTCACGGTGGTGTGATGTGTCCTGGAACAGCCAAGCTCGAAACTAAATATAAATGAGGACACATTCTGTGCTCGTGATGCACATTCACAGTAGCTAGATCATCTCAAAGTAACACTACTCATGAGACTGATTATGCCACTCCACCATGTCAGGGGAATGTTCAGTTTCTGTTGATTTATATGATGCAAGAACCCGACACAATCACTCTTTGCCACAGGAATAAAGACTTCCAGGAGGTGAGTCTAGAGAAAGATGGCGTTGTCCTGCTGTGCTTTGCCTCAGCCTACGGCTTCCGCAACATTCAGAACCTGGTGCAAAAACTCAAGAGGGGAAAATCGCCTTACCACTTTGTTGAAGTTATGGCCTGCCCATCAGGTGAGGTGAAAAATGCAGATGTTCAACTTTCCAGATACCTTTTTTTTTTTTTCTTTTTTTTTTTTCTTCTTCATGTGAGCCATTGAACTTTTGACCTATTAGAATAGGAGGTTACCCACATAAGAGACTGAATTGTTACCTCAGCACTATCATTTTTACATGCAAATTAGCCACGCTAAGCGATAAGCTGGTCCGAATGTTTTAAAAATGGCATTGCTACATACAAATGGACATGAAATTATAAGATGCAGCATTTAGTCACATCTGTGAAGTGAATAGTACAACATGCATGCATTACATCGTCAGGGGAATAACCAACAAACAAACTCCACAATAGTCACATCAGCTTGCCGTTTGTTATTTAATGTTTATCTATGTTTGTCTTTACCTCTTGTTCAGGATGCCTGAATGGCGGCGGGCAGGTGAAGCCCTCGACTGGCCAAAACCAAAAGGAGTTGCTCCAGAAAGTTGAGGATCTCTACAAAGCAGAGCGCCCCCTGTTGCCAGAAGATGACGCTCGCGTAGCTGAATTGTACCAGTCCTGGCTCAACAGTGTAGGAGATGAAAGAGCCAAAGAGCTGTTACACACACAATACCACACTGTGGAAAAAATGACCAATGGTCTCGCTATGAAGTGGTGATACATGTTTTTTGTTGTCCAGCAGAGTGTTTCTGCAGAGTTTTATTTTGCACAAATTTTGGACAGGCTGTGTCTACAGATCGTCCAAATATATAATATTTGTTTGCTAATACCTCTTTGTAAAACACTTTCCTCACCTAAAAGCTTTATGGCAGAGGGGTATACAATGAAGGAAGACCAACACAGTCAGGCTGTCTCTTCCTTAGCTGCCTTGACAAAACCTAAAACCAGAGTCGGCGATAATGGAGGTGGTTATCAAGTTTCTCTGTTAAACTGGCATTTCTGCTTCAGGTTCTATGTACACTCACATTAAAAAATGAGCATTTCACACATCACACGACGACTCTTGCACACAAAATGATCCCTATGAGTGTCATCCAATTCTAATCAGAGATGATGCTTTACAGCTGAGCTTCATTTGTGATGTTACTAAGATACGGCTTAATAACGTGCACATATGTAAGGTATTCCACCAGCAGAGAATCTGTATTGCATGTAAAGATGAAAATGTGCCATTTAACCTGCTTTGAACAGGTTCAGCAAAAGTCATCGCAGTGATTTAGCCACTGGGCCACCTTTGTGCTGCTGAAAACTTTGGTATAAAGTTGACACAGCCAACAAGCTCATATATTCTTAGTAAATATGTGAAAACCTGTTAAAATGTAAGCAAAATGTATTCATTGATTTGATCGTTACATGTGTGTACACATTTTGAAAATAAACATTAATTATAGCTGTGTGTTTTATAAGTTACTGAAAAAAGAACACTGTGTCCTGAATATGGATTGAGACCGATGTTTTATTAAATAATCTTTTGACTCCCATATACAGCTTTTAGGCTCTTGTATTTTGTGCATGTAATCTTTGGGATGAAAATCATCAATTTACATTCATAGTGATGTTCACTGCATGTATTTTTCTACCCTTGTAATACACTTTAACATATTCGATACCTGTCCCAAAATAGTGAGCACAAGGTAGAGTCTAAATGACAAACAAATTCACTTAAATTAAGGTAAATTAGATCTGAAGCTTTCACTTCCAGAATTAAGAGGACAAAGACACTGGGAAATATATATATACACATATACATCATCTCTAAACTGACCAAAAAAGTTAAATGAGAGAACTGTAGCAATGTTACCAGACAGAAAAATGTCTATAAAAAAAAAGTAAATATCAAAGCAATGAAAGTTTCACATGCATACAAATAATAATGAACTGAAGGTTACATTTCTTCCAAAACCAGTTATTTGAATCAATAAATACACAAAATGTAATCTCGACAGTTTTACTGAAAATTGGTATTAACAGACGTTAACTGGTGCAGTTGGTGTGTAAGAGACTGGGAGACCGGCCTCTAAATTAATTTGTTTCTGAGGAATATTTAATGACAGCAGCTTTGTACTGCATTTTAAATGCAAAGAGGGGATTCCACTTGATGGTTAACCAGCACTCAGGGGTGTATTGGTCAGACTTTGTTTTAAAGCAACAAAACAATGCACTCTACAGGTCTTGTGTCTCGCTGCATTCAGTTTTTCACCCTCATCCTCATTCTGTTAGCTCTGGTTAACTGATTTACATACTACTGCTGATGCCTGTGAATGTGGACTTCAAGGTCTGAGGAGCCCCCATTCCAGAGCCAGCATGGCGTGAGGAGGAAGTCTCTCCTTGGGCTTCTTGAATTTGTCCTTCTCTTTTCGCAGGACCCTCAGCACCTCTATGGGGTCAGTCTTCCCCGTGAACTTCTGCACTGCTTCCTCCCTGCAGTAAAAGATTTGAAAAGGAAGAAACACAACTGATGCACCACTACACTACACTATAGTACAAAATAAAAATATTTGAGAAAACTAAGAGCTTCCCTCTAGTTCAGTCCAGGTTTTAAAAACAGTTGACCACAAACTGATTCGAGCATAGAGAATAACACACGGTTACTGAGCGTTTCCTGTTTTTCAGTCGTACGTGAAGTGTTGTGCAAGTCTTGAGTCACCCTTTTGCTTCCAAGGAATCAAACTATCTTGTAATGTTTTAAAGTGGTCTTGAGCAAAATAGTGTGAATCATTTTCAAAGGAATGTTTTTTTATTGTTATTATTTACTCAGCCACTTAACACTGACCTATGAATCATTCGAGCATAAACAACGAATCCAACTCAAGTGATGAACCGGTGTTGTGACAAATTAGCAAAGAACCTATTTTAAACAGTATCTTTAGGCACTTTGTTTCTAGCAGCCTGTAACAAAAACACATAATTTGTCACAGTTACATCTATGAAAAATACCAAAGATAATACAGTTTGACTGACACAAAATAGTAGCTTAAAAAACTATTCGCTGAAAGCTTGGTGTACAGTGTCCTTAAAAAAAAAACAAGAAGAAAGAGAGGAAACTGGACAAGTGGAAGACAAAAGAAGAAGTGGCACGCCTAAAAAAAAATATATATATTGATAGCAGATGAACACCATCTGAAAGTCATGCCATTAACAAATAGGAAAATCTGTTCAGCCGCAGGAAGTGGAAGGGTGGCTGTTAAGAAGCAATTTTTAAGGACAGGGAGGCAAAGCTGAGGTATGCCAAATTACACAAGAACTGCACTGAAGATCAGTGCAATGTGGAAACGACACTGTCAATGCAGTAAAAGCACACTTGGATAGAAAAACAAACAGTGAAACACTATTAGTCATGGACTGGCCTTCCCAGAGGCTGGACTGCAACATTTTTGAAGCAGTGTGGGATCATCTGGACAGAAAACAGAACAAAAAGCAGCCATGATCCAAAAAAAGAGCTTTGAAGCTAATTCAAGAAGTCTGGAAGACTTTTCCTGAAGACTACTTAAAGAAATGATGAGAAAGCTTCTCTAAGAGAGTTCAGGCTGTATTAAAGAATAAAGGTGGTCATATCAAATATTAACTTTAAAGCTTGTTAGGATTGTACAGAATATGTTTTTGTCTTATATACTTTTATTTGATGTATATGTTTGTAGCTGTTTCAATGAATCCCTCCACCCATTTCCCATTTTCTGAGCAAAATATAAACAAAGATGAATCGTGACTAGAAAATGTATCTAATCTGTTTGTGAGGGGTAGCCAATCACAAGAAAGTTAGTTACTTAGTTAGTAGGAGGCAGTTCCAAGAGCCATTATAACATAAACAAGGGTTATTTTAAACTGTGAATGATGCAAAGCTGGTAAAGCACAGAGCTGGAAATGACCCAAAGGGTTTCCCACAAAGGGAGTTTTTGTTTCTGGAACAGGAATTAAAGGTTGCTTATAGTGACTAACTTGATTTTAAAGTAATTGTGTTTCACCTGACCCATCACTCTATATATGCTATACATAAACATCCAGACTCACGAGACACGAAGAAAAGGGTTGTATTCGAATTCTTCCATCAGTGTAGATGGCACTGTGGGTTTGTCATCATCATCTCTTGCCTGCAGAGACAGCAAACACTTTAAGAAACCTGGTATAAACATATTTAAATGTATTTAAAGATTAAGGCTTGGACTATTCTCTGTGCAGCAAAAGCCTGTAAAGGATTACTTATCTGTGCAACAGACCACCATTGTTGTCCAAGATATTTAAAAACAACAACAACAATGATCTAACTGAAATGCCTTTAACACACTGGAAATAGTTGTGGATCACCTACTATGTAATCTGTATATATTTGCGTATCAGGAGACAGGCTAACACCAGAGAAAACTGCAAGCCTTATTCTTGTAGCAGCTTCCTGTATCATGCTCACCCTGGCCCAGCTCAGCATCTCCTTAACCTTTTCATTTTCTGGCTCCACCAGCATGGCAAACTTCAAGTTCTTTATGGTGTACTCGTGCCCACAAAACACCTTCTAAAAGATGAACAAAGCCTCATTTAAAGTAGGGATTAGCTCACAGCACAGCTTCAGTATCTTTACTCATTCTGGGCTTTGTGCCATTTTTAAGACAGTTTGTACTATGAAGGGTGAAAAGAGAGCCAGTCCTGCCCTCAATTCACTGATTGTTGTGGAGTGATGATTCACTATAGTGATTTAGACTTATCTGAGGTCATGCTAGCTGTTGTTAACCCTGTAGAGGTCGTACACACATGCATACGCAAACAGTTAGTATTTCTTGTTTCCACTAACCGTGTCTTGAGGTAGGGAACCAAGCACCTGGGTGAGGTTGTGGTACATCTGCTCTGCTGTACCCTCAAGGAACCGTCCACATCCACCAATAAACAACGTATCCCCTAGCAACCCAAAGAAAGGACAAGGGGATGTCACAGGAGGCAGTGGTCAGTTTTTGTCATCGCACACAACATGGACAACTTATAGTATTCATATCTCTAGCCACTCAGAAATCAGTTATTAAGATTATTTGCCTGAAGACACAACAGTTGCAACATGAAGTGAGTCATTTTTTTTGCCTTTACTGTACAGTCAGAAGCAGTATGGCGAAATCTACTAGTGTCTTGGATTTCAACCGGTGCACTGATTCTTTATGTGTACAGAAAAAGACCTGTGAACACAGCAGGGGCGTCAGTGCACTCATCCTCCCAAACAAAGTAGCACATGTGACCAGAGGTATGGCAGGGAGTAAACAGGCACCTCACATTGATGGAGCTAAACTGCAGATGAAGAAAAGGACAACGAGGCAAAAAAAAATCAGAACTGAAAAAGACAACAGGTTTGTAAAATTTCAAAACGCAGCTAAACGGCATCTTCATCGAGCTCCTGTAGGTGCTTTGTGGACACCTTCAGTTCCTGTGCATTTGTCACTTTATCCGTCAGACCCCCGATTCGATCGTCTCCCCCGTACACCCTCAGGCCAGGGACCTCCTTCACCAGAGCCTCATTCCCACGAGCGTGGTCCCTAGTAAGCAGAGGCACCAAATTACTCCATTAGCCTCAATTTGACTGAGATGCTTTGCAGTGTTGTTACCTGACACGAAACGCTCCTCTTACCAGTGATGGTGTGTGGTGAGAACAGCTATCAAGGAGACGCCTTCTCGTTTCACTATTTCTAGCAGCTGTGGGGGGAAAAAAATCATCCAGTCACTTTTAAAGCAAAACAGCCAAACAGTCCTCAGGTGCAGCTTCTTTGTCCTATGATTGTTTTAGCTTCAGAAAAGTGTAATAGTAGGAGAATGTACAAGGTGCATTAAATGATGAGGAAAGCAAACATTTATTGCAGCCCTTAAAATTCTTCTTCTTTTGTTGGCTCATAATTAAACTGATCCACCTTCCCTTCTTTTGCCCCTTGCAGAGTCACACCTGTCGCCCTCTCATTCACACACATGTATTCTGTTTTGCTTCACTCTCACTACAAATCACAGTGTCTGCTGCAAACATGATAGTCCCCACAGAGACTCCTGCCTGACTCCTGCCTCATCATAGCAAACACACCTCACCACCATCTCGCTGTCCTCATACAGGTCCTGCATCACCCTACTTCTCTGTCACTCCTCACTTCCTCATACTGACTTCCAGAGTGTGTCTCTTTGCACCCTATCATGCCTTCTCTGGAGACAGTGCAATTCCTTTTGACCTCTGTATACCTCTGACCTCTCCATAAACACTCTGAAAGCAAGTATGGTATCTGTAGTGCACTTTCTCTACAGTATCTATGAATATTGCTTATTGCTTTTTAAAATTTCCTTATTTTTAACAAACCAGTTTTCGATTTTTCACTGAATCAATTTTTAAACTGTTTCCTTGTTTTGTTAGATACATAGATGATCAAAAAAATAAGTTGAAGTCTTTTCTGAAGTATGACGCCATTTTTAAATCACAGGCACAACAATGTCTCTCACCCGGTGTGGCACAGCCGGGTCCACAGCTATCGCCTGTTTGCTCTGCTCCTCTATCACCAGGTACATGTAGTTGTCTTCCAGGATGGAGATCACCTTTACCTTCATGGTACCCGCACACGCATGCGCACCACAGTGAGCGACGCTTCAAGAAGAGGTTTGATTAGTCAACGTATGAATCATTTACTTGAACGCACCTGTCTTCTGCACGAGATGTTAAATACTTCGTCAAGCATAAACAGGTAGTCGATATAAGCATGCTGGCCGGTGTAAGCTGCGCCAGCCCGTAAACTACAGTGTCATGTAGCCGAGTACTTCCTGATGATGTCACATGACTCTAAAATCTAAAAATAGTTTTAAAAAAATCAGAGAAGAGCTACCTCTCTTTAAGTGTATCCGATCAGGTCGTTTATTGCAGCTGGACTGTGCCCATCCTCTTCAAATTATTAACTCACATTTCTGTCAGACGAAGAAGTTATCGCGACATCGTGGAATCAAAGGGTCAAAACTAAGACCTTTTAATCGAGCTGGAAACAGTCAAACGCCTTTAAATTTGTTACAAATATATACGTGTGTGTGTGTGTCGTAGGGGCTTATTTATCAATGTGTTTTTTCTTGATTCATGCTTCTCTGCCCCTGGAAATGTACAAGCCTTGGTTAAAAATAAAAACCAGTTAAATTATTAACATCTAAAATTTCAAATAATTATTCACATTTTTACATTGTTAAAGACTATAATTATTTTACAATAGTAATTAACTATTAGTAAAGCATGAATAGGCATTTTCAGACATTATCTGACACCTTTTAGGATGGCTAATCATTATTTTGCAAAGAGTTTTTATATAGAAGCAAACATGAATGTGGTGCATTTATATAGTTCAAATTACTAAACAATGGATAAAGTATGGCTTTTTAATAGTCAATCCAGCCTCTAGGGGCATAATATCAGCCTTGTACAATTCAATTTCCAATTTAAAATGTTCTTCAGTAGCTGCCATCAAATCTAAATGGGAACAGGACCTTAACTCTCATTTGACAAAAGAACTGTGGGACTCTATCCTTGGCCAAGTTCACATTATATCATTGTGTGCTCGACGCACACTCATTCAATTTAAGATTGAATTTAAGGGCTAAGTTGGTGCCAGAGGCAGACCCAACCTGTAGAAGGTGTGGGGGTGCCCCTGGTAGATTACTTCATATGCACTGATCCTGTCCTTCGTTGGCCAACTTTTGGACCTCTGCTTTCTATATAATGTCTGAAGTCATGCAGCATCAAATTAAACCAGAGTCACTCTGTGCTATGTTTGGTGCGGGCCAGAACCTGAAGTTGCCCAACTCCAGACACAGAACATTAAACTTTTCATTACTGCTGGCCAGATGAGCTATTTTACTTAAGTGGAAAGACTCTTCTCCCCCCTCGTATGTGCAATGGGTAAAAGATATGTCCTGTATGGATTTAGAAAAAAATAGATATACAGTTTGTGGGTGAAAAAACACATTTTATAAACTGTGGTTCCCTTTTCCGGGCTTCTTTGAAAGGCCCACAACTATTGTTTCTGAGTAGCCCACAGATTAAGTATGGCTACATATCCATAATGTGCTTACACATTTGTTTTTTTCCCCTCAATTGCATTATTAGGACTGTGTGCACACAGTCCTAATAATAATAATAATAATAATGTGTCCACATCAATCACCTACTAAATGAAACAAAATAATAATTATTTTTAAAAAATGCTACCGGACCTGCTTCTTAATACTTTCATCATATTTAGACATGAGAGAAGCTTAATTCCATGGTTTGCTAATAGACAAGATTTAGCAATTATAACCCAAAGCATCTCCCAAAATGTAACTGGAAAAGTTAGATAACACCGATGAAAGCGTTCGCCAAAGGCAAACTTCTACTACTGTAATAATCCAATAATATGAGATGTATATGAGAATATAACAGTTTTAATGGCCTTATTCTGCATCAGGAATATATTTTGCTTATGACACAATTTATTGACACAAACTTTTGTGTAAACCTACTGAAACAAATGTGCTTTATTGCTTTTTCCAAATTGCTTCATGCAATAGTCCTTGAAAGATTTTACTTTACGAGCAAAATATGATTTGGGGTTTCTAACAATGCTGAAACAAGAGGTAGACAAGGCTGAGCTCACAGATCACTTTGATTACTTATATGTAAAGGCAGCTATGCTGTATTTTGCACATAAACAACCAAACTAGCATCTTTTAAGCAAGCGTGAAAATAAATGACATGAAGAAACATTGATACAAAGTTTTGTAGGCGAAGAAATGATTACCTATTATTAAACCAACTCACGGAAAGTGTCCACATACACCAACATTTGTTACTCATGTGGTCCTCGTCTTGTTAAATGTTTAAACGCTGAGTGAAACAGTAGTTTGAACATCAATATATTAAAGCATAAGACTAAATAACTTTTCTGATACATTTACAGAATAACTACATTTTTCTCATTTTAAAACATTCAAATAATGGCCATTTATTCCTTAAAACTGCCAACCCAAAAAACTCAAATATATCTAAAAGAATGATTTATTTATAGATTTATAGTCTAATATGTTATGCTGAACACTGTGATAGAAAAAAATGGACCTTGAGTTAAAGTCAATGCAATGGATGTGCTGTTTTTCAGTCGGTTTACAGATTAGTTGCAGGTATTTCTTTGAGTATATAATTGACAGCTTGCAGTGTTGTAATCAGTTGAAATGCCAACTCTGGTGCACTTTCACTCCTTGGGCACTCGGAAATTATCTTTTTCCTTCCGAAGACTTCTCATGGTCTCGATAGGGTCTGTCTGCTTCACATGCTCTTGAACGGACGGCTCTCTAAATTACACATTGGGGGGGGAGAGAAACAAATGTAGTCAGGCAGCACTCTCACTGTAGGTACCTCAAAACAAATTATAATCATCTGTAATTACTACTACAGTGATGTGAAAAAGAGAAATTTCACAGGGCCCTGTACTAAGTAAGTGCACCCCAGGTTCAGTAGCTTGTAGACCAGCTCTAGCAGCAATAAGTAATGATTTCCTGTATGACTCGCAGTCTCTCACATCATTGCAGAGGAACTTCGACATACTCTCCTCTACATGACGTTGCTTCAGTTCATTGATAGTTGTGGGCATTTGTTTTTGCACAGCACTCTTAAGGTCCCACCACAGCATTTTAATCAGGATTAAGGTCTGGACTTTGTCTGCGCCATTGCAACACCTCCACTCTTTTTGGTTTCAGCAATGCTGGTATAGATTTGCTCCTGTGCGTCATCCTGTTGCATGATCCAATTTGGGCCAAGGTTTAAGTTCTGGACAGATAACCTCACATTTGATTCTAAAATTCTTTTGGACAACATGTCCAAGGTCGTGTGGATCAAAACAAGCCCAAATCATCACCCCAATAACACCTCAAATATGCTGTGTTAGCGCTGTACATTATGGCCAAACATCTCCACTCCTGTGTCGTCTGTCCAAAGGCAATTGTGGTTTGATCCAACTTTACAAAGTTTAAGTCATGCTGCCATGTTCTTTGTAGAGAGAAGAGGCTTTCTCCTGTCAACCCTTCCAAACCAGCCCTACTTGTTCAGCATTTTTCTAATTGTAATGTCACAAACTTTTACATTTAACATGCTAAATTATGCCTGTCAAGTTTAAGATGGAGCTCTCTTTTTTTCACTTTCTCTGAGCATTACAGTCTGACTGTTAGATGATTGTGCCGGGACATCTACTCCTGGGAAGACTTGTATTACCTTAGTTATATTAACAGACCCCTAAATGCGCCAGACCAGCAAGCTGCCCAAATGTCAGCTTTTCTACAAGTCCACACTCGCTGATAATCAGTTAATTAAGTCCAATTCATTAGCAGCATCTGGCTACTGCTTATTCTCTAAATTCCTATAGAAGTAGTATTGCTGTACTTAGTTTTTTACAAGACTACATTAAGTCCTGTGAAAACTCTTTTTCACAAGGCTGTTTTTAATGAAGTTATACATACTTTACTCTCATAAAGGGGTTAAATGTGAATTCATCTGCCAGAGTGGACGGAATAGTTGGTTCTCCGTTGCTGCACTTCTCCTACAGACAGATAAATACACAAAAATTGCAAAGTTGTTTTAATTAATTAAGGATAACTGATTTGAAGTGGTTACTGTATGAATCACGTACCTTTGCCCAGGCCAACTTCTTCTGAATTACTTCATTGTGCGGTTCCACATGACGTGCAAATTTCAGATTGTTGACGGTGTACTCATGACCACAATAGACACGCTTAAACACAAACACGCTAAAGTTAGTCACACACCTTAAACATACAGCAAAGTTAACTCATCAACTACTGAAGAATTTAAGTCTTTCCTTTTCCATCCTAAAAATCTGTAAAATTAACGCCTATGTTTGCAGTTACCGTTTCAGGAGGAAGGCGCCCCAGAATTTCTATCAAGGCTTTGTGCATCTGCTCTGCTGTACCCTCAAAAAATTTCCCACAGCCAGCCACAAACAGAGTATCCCCTACATGGGAAAAACAGGAGTTCTTAGGGCCTTTAAGTTCACACAAAACATGTCTTTATTTACACTCGCAGGTTATCTCATATAAATGTTTAACTTAAGTAACCACACCTGTAAAGACAGCTGGTGGTTCAGTGCTGTTTTCTTTGGTCACGTAGTAACAAATGTGACCAGTCGTGTGACAAGGAGTAGAAAGGCATTTAACATGGAGTGAGCCAACCTGAGGAGAGAAAAACATAAGTGACCAATCATTCATTTGAAGCTTATAGTTGGACCACAGAGCAGAGAGTTTGCTCGTCTCACTTTGAAAGTGTTGGAATGAGAAACTTTCTTTGTAATGGCATCAACTCTGTCATCCCCTCCATAGACCTTCAGACCTGGCATTAGTTTCAACATCTTCTCATTTCCACCGGCATGATCCCTAAAACAGAAAATTAGTGTGTTGGTATTACTCTTTTGTCCAATACAGGTTTAGCAGGTTCTTAGCATAAGAAGCCAAAGGAAATGTTTATTTATAAAGCGTGCATTTAGTGGGCAGTAGCGTTTAATACCAGTAAATGGTATTCACAGCAAAACAATCAAGACAATTTGCCGATTTCTGGGAAACATAATGACAGGAAATGGGTGGGGTGATGACGTCTTAAGTAGTAGGAGCATCTTCTGACTTCAGCATCTGATGTTTTGGGATCATGTTTGCACAGCAACACCTTTTAGGCCATCATTCCTTCTCTTGCAGGCTATTTGCACCATTACTATAGTAATGCTAGTATAATGATGCAGGTAGTTTGTGGTCTGTGTTGTCAGCCAGCATCAAGCTAAACACAATGTCTGCCACAAGCTTTTCCTAGAAGCACTTTGTTAGACTGGAGAATGCTGCTGCTAAATGCAGCATGTGACCAGGTAGTAAGATGCACATCAGCATGAGAAAATTAAAAGAAAGTAAATCAAAGCAAACAAAATCACTTGACTCCTACTGCAGCCCTGCGTGAGAAACTGGTGGAGAAATATATAAGCATACCTTGTCCTAAAAAAGACTTTACAAATTTTGAGTGAGTACAGTACAGTAGGTAGGTTACTTTGCAGTCACAGCCTTCCATGATCAGAGTGGACCTAATACTTTGTTCACACAGCACGTTGGATGTGAACGTGGTTATATTAATGGTAATGGTGATGAATATGTCATTTTGCCTTAACAGGTACAATAAGTATTTTTTTTAGCTTACTTATTATGGAGAAATAATCTTGAAAAAAAAAAAAATTCATCAATGTTATAAAATAAGCAGCAGCTTACCAGTGGTGATGGGTGGTTAGAACTGTGGTGAGTTTTACACCATGCTTTCGGACAGCTTCAACAACCTGTTCAAAGCACACACACACAAAAAAATGCTGAGTGGAGCCATGCCAATATAACTACTTAATTTATCAATAAGTATCCAACAACAATTAGTTATTAAAGGTCTTAATGAAGAATAGGAGAGAAAAAGCTGTTAGTTTTTTCTCACACTAACCTCAAACTGATATAAGGTACTCTGCACCTTTCTGCAAACTGTCCTGAAAGTAGGCACCTCCCATACAAAAATAATGAAATAAAAATAGTAAAATAAATAAATACATAAATAAGAAGAAATCTATCACGCTTGGATAGAATTACGTAGTGTTTTCAATAGTCTAGGGTTATGTTTTGACCTACACCCAACAACAACAACAACAATAATAATAATAATAATAATAACAACAACAATAATATATTTTTCTTAAGTCCACAATATCACCAGCAAAACGCAGAGTGGATTCTCTCAGAGTTATGATGCTGAACACTATATGTATTCTCATTGATGAATGACTATTTTAACCCTTATAAACTGTTCGCATTTCAAGCCTTCAGAATATGGTTGGGGTCAGTTTTGACCCATGCTAAGAACTGGTATAAATGTTTATACAACATTTTGAACTACAGATTATATAAATAGAATATGCATAAATAGCATATCTAAAAAAATTGGATGATTAATGCTTAATTAATGTTTCAGAGACCAGATAGTGTTTTTTTGAGATTTACAAGATTCATTTTTAGTGAAAAAAAAAAAATCTAATACTTGAAAGCAGGAGAAAAATTATGATTTAATTATATTCTACTCAAAGTGAAAATGTTAATGACCTCAACTTTTGGGATTTATTATATAACAATGCAAAACTATTACAACTGTTAAACACTGCCCCTTGATATGTCATAAAAAAACTGCTTGTAACTGCAGCCTATAACAATATCTATAATAATTCAATAACTTGTTCATTGCAAACTAATGTGTTTATTCAGGGCAGTGGTAGGACACCTTGCATGTGTGGAACTTGCGCAAGTGTTTCCCACACTCACCTAAATGCCAGTTCAGGTATCTTTATAATCTTGCTGAAAGGCAACAATTCTAATACTTCTAACCATTGCACCATCATGCTGAGTCATTTCAAATCTCATGTCTGTGTCAAGGCACCATCCCTAAAGGCACTCACTGACATCTATGTAACCTCTTGTGCACTGTTTGGAGATCACTCCATCTCACAGACCAGCTGGTACCGGTCTCTGTGGGAACCTGGGCAAATATAGTGAGGACGCAGACAGTCTACGTGACAGTGTCAAGGTCCCCCTTGACGTCTGTCACGTCTGTCCAATAAAAAGTAAAGAAGGAAAAAACCCACATAGGCATGACTTGCACACAAGATTCCCTAAAACCACATTTTTTTTATTTGACCCACACTGGTAGATCTAAAAATCACATTTCATCACAAACAGCCTCAGTTTACAAAAGATTGTAGCACCTGTACAACAGTATAAGATTTTGGATCATTTTAGGTATAGTCATAAAGTCAGTCAGAAACACAAAAACTAAACAAAAAAAGTGTCTAAACTATTTCACACACTTTCTCTCATTTAAATGAAGCAACTACTACAGTACTCTGTGTAGTAAATACTTAATTTAACTTGGTTATTCCTCACACACACACTAACCTCAGGTGAACTGGCAGCAGGTACAATTGCACCTTGAACGAACTGCAAACTGTCCTGTAACTAGACACTTCCTCAGATACCATATCATGTAATAATTATAATAATAATGATAATAGTAACAACAACAACAACAACAATAATAATGATAATATTAATACTTTCAGGCTCAAAATAAAAAAATAAATAGAAGACAAAACAAAAAGAAAACTATGTTGCTATCAAATATTTGTAAAAGGACACAATTTTGACTTGAATAGTGTGTAAAGATTAACACAATCACTTGTAGGTAGACTTTCTGCATTGGTGTTAAAGTGTTGTCAACTGGTTTATATAACATTACTTGATATGATACAGTGACTGAACAGACCTTTATTGGCTCCACGGGGTCTACAACAGCTGCTTCTCTGGAGTCCACATCGATCAGTAGGTACATGTAGTTGTCAGACAGCGCAGGGAGCAGTTCAATCTTCATGTTTGCTTGCTCCACCAGATTAGATTTCCTGACCACACTGTGAAGGAGGGCGGCTGCCTGGGCCTTGACTTCCACCGGAGCTTCATGAGGGGATAAAAGCCGATATTTAACACCGAGCCACATCAGACAGAAATCGGGACAGTTTAACTTCTAGTCCCCTGTACCTCTGTAATATATTCACATACTCCTTGCCTTACATTCGTTTAATGCCACAAACGCGAGAAACTTAACACACCTCACCGCCCCGCTGGACAAGTGAACGCCACACGTTAACACGCTTCGGTGTTGGATTTTTTGTGGGCACGCTAATTAATTACACCGATATGACTGTCATAGAGGAGGTTATATAAGAGGAAACAGGTATGCGCTCAGACAGGCCGGCTGTGCTCATGTGACAGCTCCCCCCATTTTAAGACGACAAAACATAAACAAACGAACAAACGCCATCTACCCACCTAACGGCAGCGAAGCAAGCGAAAACTACGCTAAACCTTCGCGGGCTGAAAATGAGAGAAAACCGTGTGGACGTACCGAATTTTAAGGCTGTCGCAGCTCCTAATAGAGTGCAGGCACTCCCTACTAGTGACTTGAATAACATAACAACAGTAGCTAAAGTCTTATCACGTTTGTGCAAACCAGAAAAGTTTGGTTTTGGTTCAGTTCCGTCTCCGCTCCCTTTGACCTTTGCCCTCCAAGGCTCCGCCAATCAAGTCTCGGGTATATAGATCGGGAATGATCTATCTACGTATTTATTTACGTAAACAAGTTACACGTGACTGTCTAACTTGTTTACGTAATTCTGCACAAGAGTAGTTTAATAAAGTTAGTAAGTGGTTTTGTTTTACATTTTAGTCCCAGTAATGATCTCAAATAAGATAGCATTGATTCGACGTTTGTGCTCTGCGCATGTCCCTTCAGGCTTGCCGTAGGTTGATGTTCCGTAGCGGTCAAAACGGTGTCGGTCAAAGTTTAGTTACAGTCGTGCTGACTGCATCAAGGCAGCCGAAACAGCTCACGGTTCTCCACGATGACAGCACGGAATATTTCCCGGTTCTGGGAATGGGGGAGGAAGATCATTTGCGTTGGGAGAAACTATGCGGATCACGCCAAAGAGCTGAAAAACGCGATTCCTAAGGAGCCTGTCTTGTTCCTGAAGCCTCCTACTGCATATGTGAGAGAGGGCTCGCCTATCTTGGTGCCCCTTTACACCACTAATCTGCATCATGAAGTGGAGCTGGGGGTGGTGATCGGGAAAGGGGGCACGGCCATCCCGCAGTCCGCCGCTATGGAGCATGTTGCGGGTTATGCTCTGTGCTTGGACATGACAGCCCGAGACATCCAGGACGAGTGCAAGTCCAAAGGTCTGCCCTGGACCATGGCCAAGGCTTTCAACACCTCCTGTCCTGTCAGCGAGTTCATCCCCAAAGAGCGCATCCCTGACCCGGCGAAGGTCAGCCTGTGGCTGAAAGTAAATAATCAGCTTCGACAGAGCGGCTGCACCTCTCAGATGATCTTCTCCGTCCCATATCTCATCAGCTACATCAGCGACTTCATCACCTTGGAGGAAGGGGATCTCATCCTGACCGGGACCCCTAAAGGAGTCTCCGCCGTGCAGGAGCACGATGAGCTGCAGGCTGGGATCGAGGACATTGTTACGATGAGCTTTACAGTAGACAGACAAGACCATTAGCGGGAAAAGAGACTTAACTGAGGCAGATGAGATAATAAAGACTCGTGAAGAGAAGGTGCTTCAATCTTTTTTAAAATCTTTGCGCATCAGCAGATGGCAGTGCTGTGCCACCGAGACTGTATTTCTGATCAATTCTTGCTGCCTTGCCCAGCATTTTAGAAGAGCCGAAGTACAACACACAGTTTCGTGACACCGTTTGAGCAAAATCAGGACAACTATAATCTATTTTACTGTATTTTAGCCATGATATAAAAAACATATTCATCACACAGTGTCACTATGTCTTTCACCAGACTATGAAGTAATTTATAGTATTAAAATGAAAGGTGTAATGATGTAAAAAAAACAAAACTAAAATGAGCATTAGATCATTATATTTTTGTAATTTATTATTCTTTTTTAATCATTTGCTGTAAAAAATAAAAGGATTGCAGAAACTTGAAAACAGCATCTTGTATTCTCCTTTTTGAGAAACTTCATATTTTTCAGAAAACAGTAAATAAAACAGTAAATAAGAAAGCTATTTCATAATAAAAACAAGTCCTCCATTAAAAAAAAATACTTGTCATTGGTAATGACAGTTCATATCAGTATTCATCTTTTTATAAATGCATTAAAGTTCAAATAGTATTCTCAGCGCAGATGTGATCTATGTATAATCACATATATGTTTTTATGTTAATGTTGAAAAAGTGTCTCTTTGTAATCTTGTACACCAGATGTTTGAAACACACTCAAAATACTTAAAAACAATTACTTCAAAATGTTGATATAAAAGTTGATTTTTTTCCCCCCACAATAATTAGTGGCATTGCTTTTGTTCCCAGTGGGTTATATAGTAAAATCTAAAATTACAATAATAACAGTAAGGTACAGGTAACGTTAAGAAAGCATTCCTTACATTATAGTGTAGATGTAAATTGCATGAAAGACCATGAGTTTTACAAAAAACAAAACAAAACGTATGGTTCATTTAAGTATTAAAGTTTTAATATATCTAAGGAATTATTACAATTTAGAGAAGCTTATGGGTTGAAAATGTTTGTTGTCCTCAGAAGAATTCAGTTTGAAAAAACCTGTTTGATTAGCACGGGATCAGTTCCATAGTGTAGCAGTTTACACAGTTACCCAATGAGTGAGAAGTCCTTCTACAATCCCAGGAGAAGAGACAAATCCCTTTGGGGTTGCATCAGGAAAAGCATCCGGAGTTTAAAAAAAAAAAAGTACATCTGCCAAATCAAACATGTGGAGCTACCCACTGTGGCGCCCCCTGTGAATAAGGGAGCAGCTGAAAGTAACATCAGATTTGTCACTGCGGGAATTTGAAATACAGGTTTCACTACCCAGCTGTTCTTAATTTAGGAACATGGCTACACTTACCAGCCAGTTCAGTACATACTGTAGCTACCTGCTTTTGCCTTTAGAAGTGCTTTAATTCTTCACGGCACAGACTCAACAAGGTGCAGGAAACATCCTCAGAGATTTTGGCCCATATTGACATGTTAGCATCACACAGCTGCTGCAGATTTGTTGGCTGCACATCTATGATGAGGATCTCCTTTCTCAGCACATCCTAAAGAGGCTCTATTGGACTGAGATCAGCTGACTGTGGAGGCCATTTGAGCATTTGAACTCACTGTCATGTCACAACCTGAACTGTTAGTACAAGACAGGATGAATCCGCTTTGGGTGTTCAGAGACGCTCTTTTGCATACCTTTGTTGTAACAAGTGGTTATTTGATTTGCTGTTGCCTTCATTCTTCTCTGACCTCTGGCATTAACAAAGTAACAAGTTTTTACCCAGAGCACTGACGCTCACTGGATATTTTCTCTTTTTCGGGTCTTTCTCTGTAAACCGTAGAGATGGTTATGGGGGAAAATCCCAGTAGATCAGCAGTTTTTGAAATACTTTGGCAACCACGTCGCAGTCAAAGTCACTAAAAGTCACTTTTCTTCTCCATTTTCATGCTCAGTTTGAACTTCAGCAGCTTTCTTGTCCATGTCAACAACCCTAAACGCACCAAGGTGCTGTCACCATCAACTCAGAACAACATCTCTGGGCGGAAGCAACATCTCGGATCAGTTGGATGCGGTTGTGAGGTCTCAGAATCTGCTATGTGAGCAAAAAAGAGTGACAAGACCACAGAATCGACGGCTAATAACGTCACGGAGAAACTCGCAGCTATTAACGGGAGATTGAGAGACCAGTATCGGAGTGTTAAAAACAGCTTGAAATTCTCATGAGTTGTTTGCAAAAGAAAAATTACCATCATAATGCAGCTACCCCTTCGGCGCCAGCTGTGGGCTCAAGGCTGGAGCCGAACAACTGTTCCTTCCCATTCCCTACAAGGCCACCTGGGTTGGCTGGAAGATTGTTTACTTAGCCTGGCGGGGCGAAGGACACTGTCTCAGCTCAACTATGGACACGCACACACATACATATACTGATACTGATAAGCACTCACTGACGCATCACCCTCCCTATCCAACGCCACCTCCAACGGTTACCTCCCCCATGATGTGGACATCGGGTCAGCTGGAGGCGCAGTCGAAATATTGCAGCGGTCCCAGATGAGATGTACACACTGGAACACTTTCCCATGTTGCTTGTCTGTGTTTATTGTGTTATGGTGTGTTGATACCTGTGCATTCCTGTATTATCCTTTTGTGTTACACATTTCAATGTTTTTTCCTCGCTACCTAGCCTGACCTGTCTCCCCAATGTGATGTTTGTATTGTATGTACGGTCGGCAAGGTCTGTCATCTCGGTTGTGGGCAAAAGACCTGCAACTGCCAAATAAAGGCTATCTCATCTCATGTAATTGATTAGATATTTGTATTAACAAGCAGCCTAACAGGTATAACTAACAAAGCGTTTGTTAAACCGGGTGTATTTTGCTGCTCATTGAACCAGCCGAGATGTATTTCCTTCCGAATGTTTAATTGCGTCACACCTAAATACTGCATTTGATACTTTCTTTGATTTGCTTGAAACAATCTGAGACACATAAAAGAGGGCCTCCATTAACCCAGATTATCAGCTGTGGTGTTTCTGCACATCCAGTGTAATTTTGACTTCTAGGATGTCAACCTTCACCGTACCCTGATAGTTCTTAGACTTTTAAACTTCTCTTCCAGGTTCAGAGACAATTCTCCCACAGGCTTCTCTGTTTTCAGGATCAATCAGAGCCTCCATCAGCCTGTCCCAGGCCAATCTGCCGTAACCTGAGTCTATATACATCATCTTCCTACACCTGTAGGGCATGTTGTCTGCAACACTCTTAGTGCCAAGCCCTGGCCTGCAGGGAACTCTGGGGTTATGTATGTCTGTCATTAGAACAGTTATGACAGATTCAATTAGATTCAGGAGCTGGGAAATGTTTCCATGGCCCATTTTTTTCCTCATCACAGGGTTAGTATGCTATGTGCTCACAGGTGTCGTCTTTTATGAGGTATGAATCATACTATTCATTGTACCCGTGTGACTGCAGGTATTAAAGCCTCACAGGTTTTTAACAACGGCTTCAAAGCTGGAGCTCAGCTCTGGTTTAACATTCAGCACATAAACCAGCACCGTGTCAACGAGCCTGAGAAGGTTTTTTTGACGCTTTGAGCAGGGATTACTTGAGGACCACAGTCTTTCGGTTCAGCAACAATAACGGTGACATCACTTATGATGTCAGCCCAGGTGGTAACTGAGTCTTATAAACAGAGTCGATCAGAGTACATTGTCAGAGAGCTGCTGGTGTGCATTTAGTATCTGAGAATTGTTATGTGGTCGTGTGGTGATTAGCACTACAGGCTGAGGCTACTGGCCTGCTCGGATTTTCTGTGTGGAGTTTGCATGTTCTCCCTGTGCCTGTGTGGGTTTTTTCCAGATACTCCAGCTTCCTCCGGGAGTCCAAAGATGTGCACATTAGGTCAAGTGATGGTTCAAATTGGCAATAGGTGTGACTGTGAATGGCTGTCTCTCTGTGACAGCCCTGTGATAGGTTAGTGACCTGTGCAGGTGTACCCTGCCTCTCGCCCTATGACAGCTGGGATAGGCTCCAGCCCAAACATGACCCCGAAATGGGTAAAAAAAAAAATGGATTGACAGAAATGTTATGCACAGTCCCTTGAATGGTAACAGTGAACATCATAGACAGAGCAAACTGTCCTCAGCCTGTGGATTTAACACATTTTGTAACTTCATGTAATCCCAGACTGACTCAATGTTGATGAGTTTAGGGCTTTTGTAGAATTTGGGACCAGCGATGTGCTATGTATAAAAATCTAAACGCGGAAAGTGGCAACATTTATGAACACTTCCTCATCTACAGATTATCACAATGCAAGAATAAACAACCACATATTGTGTCTGAAGACAGAGGTTCACAAAAAGACTACAGGGTAGAATAATTTGGCAGGATGTGGCTGGTTGAATCTGAGACCTGTTAAATCTATTGTAAAATGACATTTATGGCATATTCTGGCAGACTTGTTTCAACATTTGTTAATAGCCATCAGCTCATCGCGAGACTTAGTGCCAAGGTATCATCTTGCTTGAGGTAATTGCGTCAAATATCGCAGGTTCAGATGAAAAACAATGTGCATGTGAATACAGGCTTGAACATGTACCTATTCTTTAATGATTCATTGAAGGGAAACTGAACTGTTTTCAGTTTGTTTTATAATAGTGTGTAATATCAGTTTAAATCAGCATCCAGCCTTTGTTTTTTTGAATATACAGTGTAAGGCAAGAATGCTGCAGCGTTGAGTCTAACTGAAAAACAACTATAAATTTTTAAATAAGACGTTGGACTGTCCATTCTCTGAGAGAATAAAGCGTTATCCCTTGATTACCAGCTCGTGTCTGTCTGTGTGTTGAGCAATTGACCATTCGTTAGGCCTAGATTTGCGTGCTGCACTGCAAGTCACCAGATGGGGCTGTGGTGTGGCTATTCTTAGGGAAAAAAATACCAACCATAGGAAGGACTGAGTCAGAGGGAATGCATATGACATATTGCATCAAAGAGACATGCTCTCATACGGCCAAGAAATTGATTTGATGTCATCTTTGGAAAGGCATAAAAGCAGCTCCGTGTGACAGGACTCTATGTGCATACTTATACATCAACTGAGGTTTTTCGGTGAATATGTGTCTTTATCCCGTGTTTGATGGACTCTCCTGTGCGTGTGCACACGACAGTTGCATTAATCATTAGTTATTACTAACACAATGGAGGAAATTAAAAACGGATGTGTTATATCTTCACGGGCCAAACTGCGGAGCCATAATTCATTCTCACCGACTAATGAATGGGGTCTTTGACAAATTAAAAAGAACCATGCATGACGCCCAGGTGCAGACCTCTTTCATTCAAAGTGATTGACTGCACACAGTTTGTTAACACTTTGTTTGAAGCTGCTGGCGGAAGGCAAACCGGAGCAGATTTAACAGCTAAACTGCGAAACACGTTGCTTCCATACAGATGTGGACGCAGCAAAATAAAAATAAAAGCTCCTCCAAAGAGTGTTTCCAGAAGAGTTGAATACAGTTTTATTTTTAGTGTGAAAGCTTTCCATTCATTTGGCAACACGCTGTACCTCATCAACTAAGTGCAAGCTTCTCTGTAAAGGTTTCCAATCAAAGCTCAATAAGCAAACTGGAGCTGGTATTCTGTAGTCTAAAATAGAAATGGAAACATGTGCTGAAATGTGTCCAGAAAAACAATGCTATAAAATCCTATTGTAAAAGTTCTTAATCCGGCGTCCCTCAAAAGTTTTCCTAATTTGCACTGAACTGCCACGAGCATTTGAAAATCTCCCCAGCCCAAATTTCTTTCTCATCAATTAAAAGCGGAGTCAAAATTTAACAAGATAGTG